TCTTTTCGGACTCATAAATTCTGAGTGCTCCGAATATGTTTGCGGGGAAACTCTTATTTTTTACTTTGTTTGTCTGTGTATTTAATTAAGGTGGCAATACACTTTGTAGGAAAAATTAGAAATCCATTACGAAATTGTGGGATCTGCTGCATATTAAGAAATAACTATAGAAAAATGTTGTTCAAACACTATCTCAATCACGATGTAAAAAAATCTAACGGCCAACATTTTTATGAGAGGTGGCAATACTTGAAAATCTGGTCCAAGTTACAAAAAAGAAGTTTATTTAAGTTGCCGGTATATAAAATTTAAAGAAATTTCAGTTGTTGGTAGTTTATTTGTGCTCACTTGGCTTTTATCGACTCAAAAATTCGTTTGCTAATGTTTATACATAGAATTTCAAACAAATTGTAGTCTACATTTCCGCATTCCTTTAAAATCTCTGGTTTAAACGTTTCGGGGTTTTTGGCATAGATTCGTCTAAATAATATACCTCACACCTTCTCAATGGGGTTAAGGTTAGGTAAGCAAGCTGGGTGTTGGTTTTATTGCAGCCATTTTCCGTTTTAGTTGCTGGTATGGATTGCTGCAGTAGTTCCAGTTATACATAGCTCCCAGGCCAATACATTTCCACTGCCGAAGTTTCCATTTAATACATCTGGACTGTCCAAATTAAAATATTTCTCAATCGAAAATATGTACATATGTCTGTGGTCATAAGCAATAACCGCCTAAGTCGACTTAAGAACGAATCGAGTTATATATGCTATCGTTTGTTGCAACTACTATTCCATGTGTATGTGAAAGTCCCATCTCGTTAGCTAGGCTATTTAAAAAGTTATAGATTAAAATATTTTGGTTAACATTACAATCCAAATCTTAAAAGTGATTTTTCTCGAATTCAGGTTTTTCGACTTAGGTGATTATTTCTTATGACCACAGATGTACAACACATATATAACTAAAAGCAAAACCGCGTATGTGAATTATGTATAGTATTTTCTAGAGCAATCGCATTTCTGGCTAGAAATCTCAAGACGAGTGGGTAAGGATTGAGCCAAGAGCTTGTGTGAGCAAATCCAATTGTTGGCAGTAAATGTCAGCTATCCTATTTTGCAGAATGTCAGCTACGCGGTTTTGTACTTTAAACGACGATATGTTTTATATTTATGCTGTTAATAAAGGAAAAAATGTCTACAAGTTTGCGTTGATTTTTGAGAATTTTTTGCTGACGGCCCTCCGCGTTTTTTTTCATATAAAGTATTTCCAGAATTTTTTGCCATACATTATACATATATATAAAAATTTAACAGTATTTTAAAAAAAAGTCCTCTTAACAACGTAATTTAAATTTATTTCTTCTTCTTTTTCATTTCAGAAACATCTATTAAAAACTTATGGCACTATTGAAAGTTTTACCACCACCGTTGTTGATGATAAGAGCAACGCTTACGTAGTACCTCAACAGATGACTACTGATTCATCAGGCCCATATTTAAAATTGGAACAGAAAATGAGTTTATTAATCGAAAAAAGTTATAAGTCCGATATAACAATGGAAGAAAAACTGACGAGTTTTTGCGTTGCCGAACGATTGCCGTTTGAAGCAAACATTCTGGAGTACTGGCGTAGCAAAAAATACAAAGATTTGGAGTTGGGAAAATTGGTCGATGCTGTTTTGTCAATTCCAACCACACAATACTCGGCTGGCAGGGCACTTAAAGCCCTCTCAATGATTTCAGAAAATAGACAACAGAGTCTATCTAAAGATACGCTGAAGAATTTATTGCTTATTAACCTTAATAATACGTTAGTTTAGAACTTAGTTATAAGATTAAATCAGACTTGTGCCGATTTAAGCACTTTGTAGAAAGCTTTAAATGTCTAAGTTATATTATATTTTATATGTTTAGTATACTACAAATATATGTACATAAATATATAACTTTTCGAGGAATATTACTTATATTCTATGTACTTTTAGTTTATGATTTGTGATAAGATTTGGTACCCATTTTTTGTTTTTTTCTTTTTGCTTTGTTAATGTGTAGTACAAATAATGAAATACCATTTCTATTCAATTATTTTTATCTCGAGCCGAAATACACTGACAGTAATTTGAATAGCAAACCCTTTTAATTTTCAGTATGTACATTTTTACTTTAGTTTATTTAATTTTCATACATTCAAAAAAAAATGTAGCTTATTCTACCTATAAATCCGATTTTAAAATTTTATACAAACTAAAAATAAAATGTCATGCTTTTTAAATGACCTGCAGTGTATAAGTTAATAATATTTTGTTTAGAAAAAGTTCGGGTATACAGTTTGTAGTCCATTCAATTCTAGTATAAAAACAGTGTAATGACAGTGTCATGCATTTTCTTCCATACAAAGTCTGCTCGACATAATAATTTTTACCTGGAAGAAAATGCGTATCACCGTCAACAAAAAAAAATAAATAAATAAATAAATGGTATTTTGTAGCTACTTGAAGCTTGCACTGCATTTCGAAAAATATTATTAACTCATGCACTGCAGGCCATTTTTTTTTAAATTTGTATAAATTTTTATAATCGGATTTATTGGTAGAATAAGCTTTGGTGCCATATTTTTTTTAGTTTGTAGAGAATTTTAAAATCAATATTTATAAAAGAACTATTGAATATGAACAAACAAAAGGAAAGCTGTCCATACTGAGGATCAAAAGGGTGTGCTATTCAAATGACTGGGAGCTCATATAGATTCTTTAATTTTAACTATGTAGCTAGTTATGTAAGCAGAAGAGATGTTAAAATACAAATAAATGAATCTATTATTGTTTCGATTTGAACAGTATAAATTAAAAAGGTCGTTGGCACTAATTTGGCTGATTCTCTCTATATTCTAATCGTAGTTTTAAGCTGTTGTGAATTAAATGAAAGATTTTAAGTAAGATTTTAAATGGCTTTAGCGTGTTTTCAATTTTTTTCAACAAGATGTTTGTTATAAGGGATTCCTTTACCTGTGCGATTATGTTTTTAGGAGAAATTTAGCAAAATAGCTTAAAAAATTCAAAGGAACACTCTAAGGCCGAGGCCACGCAATGAGCGGCTTTTATTCCTGAGCGCCGCCTCCCATCCATTCAAAAATTCCGCAGGCATGGCCACTGCAATAGGAGGTATATCAATGGCCACATTATACGTATGGCGACTGGTGTCTAGGTGCTGGTCTAGTAGCCTTGGCTACCAGTATCGTACTTTGTATCATGTATAGCGATTAATCTCAGTAAACAGAAAAACGCAGACACATCCGAATTTACTTTTTTGACATGTACATTTCGAAGTAGATAATTGGCAACTTTGCTCCAATGGGTTTAACAATTTATGTAAACAAATAACAATATCGTCGTAATAAAACTATAAATAAAAAATTGCGCGACTAGACTCAGTAGTCGACAGTCAGTAGCCAGTTGCCAGTTGCCATACGTAAGGCGAATTTTAGTACATATATGGATGGCCATCGCACATACCGGTATTTTGATAATCTAGGCGGCCAAAACTATTTTAACGTTTTTTATAGTCTTTAATACTTTTATTCATCATCATTCAGACAATGGACTTTTTTTTATTAAACTATTATATTATTAACCCTTAAATGACCGTGGTATTTTAAAAGACACAACCATTTTGTACTAGAATAAATAGAAAATGAAATTTTTTTTGGGTATTTATAGGTTAAATTATATAAAATAGACATCATTATTAATGTTTTAATTATTTATTTATCAAATGCCAAGTTTCATGGAAAGTTAATGCAAGACCACAGAAGGTGTCAAACAAAATACATTATTTGAACCAAAAAAAAATATATAAATATATTTAATTCAATCAATAATCTTACGTCAATAAGAACTAAAGCAAAATGAAACAAATTAAAGGAAAAAATTACAAATTTTCATTATCTGATGAATCAGATTCGTTAGGTTGGGCCGGAATGAGTAAACTTAACGTTTCAGGTAAATATGATTTTAATTTTCCTCTTTTCACATTTCTAGTGCTGCTAAATAAAGGGTCTGAACATAAAAAAAGTCGATTAAAAATGTCTCTATTGCAGTTTTCTCGGGAAAATTTTCTTGCGAAGTCTTGGCGGTAAAATGTTTATTCCTTGCTTCTGCAGCCTCCTCCGAAAGTTGCCCAATAGGCACCAATGCATTTTTTATGATTAATGCACCATGCACAAGTTAATAAGCGTTTCACTGTAACATCGACCAAGGGCTGTAAATCACATTCAGCACTAGTGCATGTAATTCTGATAGATTCAGTAGGCGGATACAATTCATTTTTTGCTTTTTGAATAAGTGTGTAGCAGGGATAAATTGTTTTACATGTGTTCCTTATAACTTCGTACTGAGCACTTGTTAGATCAGCATCAATTATCATTTTCAACGCTTCCATTGGTGATAAAGGGTGGATTTCTTTTTTCCCAGTGTTTGCAAATGCCTTTTTGTATTTTGTCGCACGTGTCGGAGAGTTTTGAATGTCTTTTAATACTTTAGAAGCATCTCTCTTTCCACTTTTGATTAACTCTACTGAAGCAGCATGCATAATCAAGTCTTTGTCCTTTTCTGTAGACCTGAGTTCTGCAGTTTTGCGTCTTTTAGATCTTTCACCTGAGTCACTAAAATGTTTCTGAGGACGGCCACATCGTTTCGGTTTTGCTGCAACAGTTAATTCAAAACCTCCTTCCAACCAAGACTTGTACTTTGATAGGAAAACATCTTCCTTTTTATGTACTTGCAGCCACTTTTTCTTGATTTGTGATTTAAGATGTGAAAAATTGTGCTTAAGAGCTGATATCTGTTCGTTAGAGTATTTTTCACTTGACAAAAGCTCCTGTTGTAAAGAGTTTAATTTTTCGTCCAAATTTGGTGAATTCTGAGTTTGCATGCGGTCGAATAGGTATTTTCGAGTCACATTTCGAACCCCTGAAGTGCCTTGAGAACCTTAAACAAACCAAAAAATAACAAGTATAGAAAACGCTTTTAAAAAAAATTTTACAATGAAACTTTTGAAATTCCACAATTAATTAATCTGCGGTTTTCTGCGGCTAATTCTACTTTATTCTACATCTCAAAGCATATGTACACAATCTGTTGAGTTCGCTTACGCTCATTGTAAAGTTGTAATATGTATATCATTAACATAAAGGTTAAGGCAGTAGTGTTTAGAAGGGTTAACTTTGCGACTCTAAACAAGAGTTAATACCAGTTGTTAT